AGATGAAATGACAAGAAATTTCCTCAATATGATGTATCAGGGCCAGGTGTGGTCTCTCACACCTGTAATCCCAGCACTTTGGAAGGCTGAGGTGGGCAAGCCACTTGAGGTCAGAAGTTTGAGACCAGCCTGGCCAACATGGTGAAACCCCATCTCTACCAAAAAATAAAAAAATTAGATGGATGTGGCGATGCATATCTGTAGTCCCAGCTACTCGGGAAGCTGAGGCGGAATCGCTTGAACCCAGGAGGCAGAGGTTGCATTGAGCTGAAATCACACCACTGCACTCCATCCTGGGTGATAGAGTGAGACTCTCTCATACATATATATATATATATATATGTATCAAATGAAAAACAGAACTCAGACTGCCCAATTCTTTTTACAATACCACATTGTGTATATTATTAATATATAATCAAACATTCTAATAAACCAAGGTGAAAATGGAACCTCTAAATCCATCCAAATTTTTCACTATATTAAAAGCAAAGCTTAGCAATATAATAGCAGTACATACTTCTAATAAAAGTTTTACATACCATAGCTATTGCTATAAGTTGTACAAACATCTCACTTAATTCCCATAATAGAAATATATGTATATGTGTGTGTGTGTGTGTATGTGTGTATTTATGTATGTACTTATATCTACCTAATTCCAACAGAGGATTTTAAGAAGCTTGTTGAAATAAATAGAGCATAAAATTTTTTTAAACTGAGCTGATCATTTATATGTAAGATACTGGAATATAAACCAGTAAGAAGTCTTATTTTTGTTAGTACAAAAAGGATGCCATAATTTCTAATAAACTTATCCAGTAAACTCATCCTTGGCTGGCTGTCCTCAAATTTGATTCTGCTTTCCCTAGCTGTGAATATGAAGAAAAACAGATAGTACTATGCCCACTGAAAGATAATGAGATTTGGGAGGCCAAGGCAGGAGGATCACTTGAGCCCAGGAATTCGAGACCAGCCTGGGCAACATAGGGAGACCTTGTTCCCACAAAAAAATTAATCAGACATGACATGCCTGTAGTCTCAGCTACTTGGGAGGCTGAGGTGGGAGGATCACTTGAGCTGGGGAGGTGGAGGTTGCAGTGAGCCATGATCACACCACCACACTCCAGCCTAGGTGACAGAGTGAGACCCTATTTCTCCAAAAAAAAAAAAAAGTGATAAGAGATTGTAAATTATCCAAGATCATACAACCAGTGTATTTCTGATTTCAAGGCTGTTATGCATTTAGAGTGATGCCAAGTTACTGCAACATGGAATATTTTTCCCTTTGTGTCATCTCTGATTTCTTTCAGCAATGTTTTGTAATTTTCATTGTAAAGATCTTTCACCTCCCTGGTTACCTGTATTCCTAGGTATTTTATTCTTTTTGTGGCTGTTGTATGTGGAATCATGTTCTTGATTTGGCTCACAGCTTGAACTTGTTGGTGATAGAAATGCTACTGATTTTTGTACATTGATTTTGTATTCTGAAATTTTTTTAAAGTAGTTTGTTATATCTAGGTGCTTTTGGGCAGAGACTACGGGTTTACTAGGTGTAGAATCATATCATCTATGGACAGAGATTGTTTGACTCCCTCTCTTCCTACTTGGATGCCTTTTCTTTCTTTCACTTGCCTGACTGCTCTAGTTACAACTTCCAGTGTTACATAGGAGTGTTGAAAGCAGGCATCCTTGGCTTGCTCTGGTTTTAAAGGGTAATACTTCCAGCTTTTGCCTGTTCAGTATGATGTTGGCTATAGCTTTGTCATAAATGACTCATTATTTTAAGATATATTCCTTCAATGCCTATTTGTTGAAGGTTTTTTAACATGAAGCTATGCTGAATTTTATCAAAAGCCATTTCTGCATCTATTGACATTGTTATATGTTTTTTGGGTTTAGTTCTAATTATGTGATGAATCACAATTATTGGGGGTGTGTGTGTTGAACCAGCTTTGCATCCTAGGGATAAAGCCTACTTGATCGTGATGGATTAGCTTTTTTATGTGCTGCTGGATTCCATTTGCTAGTATTTTGCTGAGGATTTTTGCATCAATGTTCATCAAGGATATTGACCTTTGTGTGTGTGTGTGTGTGTGTGTGTGTGTGTGTGTGTGTGTGTCTGCCAGGTTTTGGTATCAGGATGGTGCTATCCTCATAGAATGAGTTGGGGAGTTCTTTCTCTTCAATTTTTTGGGATATTTTCAATAGGAATGGTACCAGCTCTTCTTTATATATCTGATAAAATTTGGCTGTGAATCAATCTTGTCCCAGGCCTTTTCCTACTTGGTAAGATTTGTATTACTGATTCAATTGCAGAATCACGATTTGTCTGTTCATGGTTTTAATTTCTTCCTGGTTCAATCTTGGGAGATCGTAAGTTTTCAGGAATTTACTCATTTCTTATAGGTGTTCTAATTTGTTTGCATAGATGTGTTCGTAATAGTCTCTGAGAATTTTTTGTATTTCAGTGGGATAATGTTCTTTGTCATTTCCAATTGTGTTTATTTGGATATTCTCTCTTTTTTCTTTGTTAGTCTAGCTGTGGTCTTATTTATTCTTTCAAATAATCGTATTTGTTCTTATTTATAATCTTATTTATTCTTTAAATAATCTTATTTATTCTTTCAAAAACAAACTCCTGGATTCCTTGATCTTTTGTATTGCTTGTTGTGTCTCAGTTTCATTCAGTTCAGCTGTAATTTTGGTTATTTCTTTTCATCTGCTAACTTTGGGCTTAGTTTGCTCTTGTTTTCTGTTTCCTCTAGGCATGAGGATAGGTTGTTAATTTGAGATCTGAGTTTTCTGTGGGTGCATTTATGCTGTAAACTTTTCTCTAAGCATGCTTTAGCTCAGTCTTAGGGATTCTGGTTTATTGTATCTTTGTTCTCAATCATTTCAAAGAATTTCTTAATTTCTGACTTAATTTTATTGTTTACCCAAAAGTCATTCAGGAACCGGTTGTTTAATTTCCATATAACTATGGTTTTGAGGTTTCCTGTTAGTATTGATTTCTATTTTCATTGCACTGTGGTCCAAGGGTATGGCTGATATGATTTCAGTTTTTTTTTTAATTTGATGATAATTGTTTTATGGCTGATCATATGACCAGTTTTACAGTATGTGCCATGTGCAGATGAGACGAATGTATATTCTATTGTTTTGGGGTGGTAAGTTCTGTAAAAGTCTATTAGGTTCATTGATTAAGTGTTGAGTGCACGTCTAAATTTCTCTGTTAGTTTTCTGCCTCAGTGATCTGTCTAGTACTGTCAATGGGATGTTTAAACTTCCCACTATTTGTATGTGGTTATCTTAAGATTTTTCGCAGGTCTTTATGAACTTATTTGATGAATCTGTTTGCTCCTGTGTTGGGGGCATATATATATTTAGGATAGTTAGATTTCCTCGTTGAATTGAACTCTTTACCATTATGTAATATCCGTCTTTGTCTTTTTTTTTTTTTTTTTTTTTTTTTTGAAACTGAGCCTCGCTCTGTTGCCAGGCTGGAGTGCAATGGCATGATCTCAGCTCACTGCAACCTCTGCTTCCTGGGTTCAAGTGATTCCCCTGCCTCAGCCTCCAGAGTAGCTGGGACTACAGGCGCACACCACCACACCTGGCTAATTTTTTGTATTTTAGTACAGATGAGGTTTTACCATGTTGACTAGGATGGTCTTGATCTCCTAACCTTGTGATCCACCCTCCTCAGCCTCCCAAAGTGCTGAGATGACAGGCATGAGCCACCATACCCAGTCCTTTGTCTTTTTTGATCATTGTTTAAAGTCTGTTTTATCTGAAATAAAAATAGTAACCCCTGCTTTTTTCTGTTTTACATTTGCTTGGTAGATTCTTCTCCATTTCTTTACTTTGAGCTTACAGTTGTCATTGCATGTGAGATGAGTCTTTTGAAGACAATATATCATTGTATCTTGCTTCTTTATCCAATTTGCCATTCTATGCCTTTTAATTGGGGCATTTTGCTCATTTGCATTCAAAGTTGATACTCATATGTTCAAATTTAATTCTGTCATCATGTTGCTACCTGGTTATTATGCAGACTTGAATGTGTAGTGACTGCTTTATAGTGTCATTGGTCTATGTACTTAAGTGTGTTTTTGTGGTGACTGGTAAAGGTCTTTCATTTCCATGTTTAGCACTCCCTTCAGGACCTCTCGTAAAGCATGTCTGGTGGTAACAAATTCCCTTAGCATTTGTTTGTCTGAAAGGTTCTTATTTCTACTTTGCTTATGAAGCCTCGTTTAGCTAGATATGAAGTTCTTGGTTGACATTTCTTTTCTTTAAGAATACTGAATATAGGCCTCTCAATCTTTTCTGGCTTGTAGAGTTTCTGCTGAAAGGTCCACTCATAGCCTGATGGGGTTCCATTTGTGGGTGACTGGCCTCTTCTCTCTAGCTACCTTTAATACTTTTTTTTTTTCATTTTGACCTTGGAGAATCTGATGATTTTGTGTCTATGGGATGGTCATTTTGTATAGTATCTCGCAGGAGTTCTCTGTATTTCTTGAATTTGAATACTAGTTTCTCTAGCAAGATTGGAGAAATTTTCATGGATGATATCCTCAAATATGTTTTCCACATTACTTACTCTTTCTCCCTCTCTTTCAGGGACATCGGTGAGTTGTATATTTAGTCTCTTTACATAATCCCATGTTTCTCAGAGATGTTTATTCTTTTTCTTCATTTTCCTTTATTTTTATCTGACAGAGTTGATTCAAAGAAATAGCCTTCAAGCTCTGAGATTATTTCCTAAGCTTGATCTATTCTGTTGTTAATACTTGTGATTATCTTATGAAATTCTTGTAGTGAGTTTTTTAGTTCTATCAGGTCAGTTTGGTTCTCTCTCAAAATGGCCATTTCATCTTTAAGCTCCTGTATCATTTTATTGTATCCCTTAGAATCCTTGCATTGGATTTCAACTTTCTCCTGAATGTTCATGTTCACTCCTATCCATATTCTGAATTATATGTTTGTCATTTCAGCCTGGTTAAGAATCATTTCTCAGGAACGACTACAGTCATATGGAGGTAAGAAGACACTCGGGGTTTTTGAGTTGCCAGAGTTGTTGTGCTGAGTATTTGTCATCTGTGTGGGCTGATGTTCCTTCAACATTTAAGTTGCTATCCTGTAGATGGGACTTTTTGCTTTTATCTTCTTTGATGCCCTTGGGGGTTTGGTTGTGATGTCAGGTGGGTTCAGCTGACTGGCTTCATTTCTGGAAGATTTTAAGGGGCCAAGCACAGCTCAGCTCTCCTGGGCTGTGTGCTTTAGCTCTGGGGGGCTGAAACCAGGCCTCCAGCTCTGTTCTCTGGCCCCTCAAGGTTAGGAATCTGCTGTGCTGCAGGAGCTGAGGTGTTCCTGGTCCACTGGCCATAACATTCCAATAGGAAATTCCCCCCATTGGAGTGCTTCCTTGAGATAGTGGCAACAGGATCTGTGCTGAGTCACACATGCCAGCCACCTCAGCAGTGCAAAAGGGTGCATGTGTGTCAGCTGGGGAGAGGCATTAGTGGGAGTGGGGCAGCAGCATTCCTAGATTGAAGTGTTTCTAGAAATGTGCAACAACAAAGCAACAATAAACGTATTTCAAGAGAGTTTAGTATATTTATAGCAGTATTTTGGGGATGATGAATCACAGATACTGAATACAAAAACAGGTAAAGAAGGAAGATGGCAAAGGTTTGAGTTAAAGGGGTCATTGTACTGCACATCTTGATGAGAGTGAAGAATAATTGGAGGGGATGCAATGAATGTAATTGAACAAGATAACTGAAAGAATTTGAAGTAGTATTCATAAATGTGCATTTCACATTATAGAAGGTTTTAGTGTGGCCTTTCCTTTATTATAAAGGAAGTAAATAACTGAAGAAACAAGACAGTAGATGAATTATCCAAGTGCGTAAGACAAAAAGATTACAAATATGGGGGTCAGGCACTAATGTCTTTGGTGAATAAAGGAAAAGGATCAAATTAAGGTGAGTAAGTAACAGTGAATAGAAGAGGAAGAATGTGGTATTGTCAGATTATACAAGCTTCTAAGGAGCAAGGATTTTGTTTCTTTTTTATATATGAAGTTTCAGAAATAGCAGGGTGTCAGAAGGAATGTTAGTGAATAAACTGCTGTTATGTAAGAGGACCATAGAGGAAGCAGTGTCTTCCTTAGAGAAAGGGCTTGGTTTCAGATAGGGCACAGAATTTGAGAGAATGTTTTGAAAAGAGGTTGGGAATATAATACAGTTTGATTATCATCTGGCAGAAGTTCCAGGGTGCTCAGTTAAAGCAATCAAGAGGTAAGGACCATTGAGAGGGCTGGTCAGAGGCAATGGAATAGTATTATTGGCATGATGCCCAATGGTCTCAACAGCTTTGTAACTGATTTCCAGTGAATTATTTCTAAACCATTTTAGCCTTCTGTGACTTATTCATCCATTGTTTTTTATTTTTAAGTTTTTCTTAAGGCTCTTTTTTACTTCCTAAAGAAGTTATTTGTACGAGTTCATTTTCTAAAACAGAAAAATCAAAAATTATATAGTTGTTGGATTTTTTTTTCTTAGTAGATCATTTAATCTTTTATAGATTTAAGTTATTATAGCCATTTTATAAATGTTAGCCTATAAATCCTTATGAGAGCTTTAGCCTATGTCTTACACAGAATTCTTGTCACATTATAAGCACTTTAGTTTTAAGAATATGGGCTCTGGAGTCACATTGCCTGATGGTCCCCAACTCCTTTATTTATAGTTATGTTACCTTGGAGAAGTTAATTCAGCTATTCCAGTATAGGAAAGCATGGACAGTAGAAATAAACCAAGTTGGGAAATGGTAAGGTATGCCTGATATGGTTTGGCTCCATGTCCCCCCCAAATCTCATCTTGAATTGGAATCCCCATGTGTTGAGGGAGAGAACTGTAAGCTCCATATATTGAGGGAGAGTGGCAGTTGGGCCATGGGAACGGTTTTCCCCATGCTTTTCTCAACATAGTGAGTGAGTTCTCATGAGATCTGATGATTTTATAAGCATCTGGCCTTTTCCCTTTTCGGACTTCTCTCTCCTGCCACCATGTGAAGAAGGTCCTTGCTCCTCCTTTGCCTTCCACTGTGATTGTAAGTTTTTCAAGGCCTCCCCAGCCATTCAGAACTGTGAGTCAACTAAATCTTTTTCATTTATAAATTACCCAATGTTGTGCAGTTCTTTATAGAAGTGTGAAAATGGACTAATACAGAAAATTGGTACTGAAAAGGGTGGGTACTTCTATAAAGATAATTGAAAATGTGGAAGTGACTTTGGAACTGGGTAACAGGCAGAGTTTGGAACAGTTTGGAGGGCTCAGAAGAATAGAGAAAAATGTGGGAAAGTTTGGAAATTTCTGGAGACTTGTTGAATGGTTTTTATCAAAATGTTGGATAGTGATATGGACAATGAAGTTTAGGCTGAGGTGGTTTCAGATGGAGATGGAGAACTGAACCAAAGATCACTCTTGATATGCTTTAACAAAGAGACTGGTGGTATTTTGGCCCTGCTCTAGAGATCTGGGGAACTTCGTACTCAAGAGAGATGATTTATGGTATCTGGCATGATAAATTTCTAAGCAGCAAAGCATTCAAGAGGTGACAGACCATAAGAGTTTGGAAAATTTGTGGCCCCACCCATGTAATAGAAAAGAAAAATCAATTTTCTGGTGAGAAATTCAAGTTACCTGCAGAAATTTGCATAAGTAATGAGAACAATGGGGAAAATATAAGAGATCTTCATGGCAGCTTCTCCCATAACAGGCCTGGAGGCCTAGGAGGAGAAAATGGTTTTGTGGGCCAGGCCTAGGGCCTTGCTGCTTTATGTACTCTTGGGACTTGGTTCCCTGCATCCCAGCCATGGCTAATGGGCCAATGTACAGCTCAGGCTGTTGGCTTAAGAGGGTGCAAGCCCCAAGCCCTGGTGGCTTCCATGTGGTGCTGGGCCTACAGGTGTGCAGAAGTCAAGAATTGAGCTTCATAAACTTCCACCTAGATTTCAGAGGATGTATGGAAATGACTGGATGTTCACCTAGAAGCTTGATGCAGGGGTGGAGCCTCAAGAAGAAGTTCTTCTAGGGCAGTGTGGAAAGGAAATGTGGGGTTGGATCCCCCCACACAGGGTCCCCACTGGGGCACTGCCTGGTGGAGCTGTGAGAAGAGGGCCACCATTCTCCAGCACCAGAATGGTAGATCCATTGACAGTATCTGCAGACAATGCCAGCTGTGAAAGCAGCCAGGAGTGGGGCTGTACCCTGCAAAGCCACAGAGACAGAGCCGCCCAAGGCTATGAGAGTCTACCCTTTAAATCAGCATGCCTTGGATGTGAGACATGGAGTCAAAGGAGATTATTTTGGAGCTGTAAGGTTTAATGACGGCCCCACTGGATTTTGGACCTGCATAGGGCCTGTAGCCCCTTTGTTTTGGCCAATTTCTCCCATTTGGAACAGCAACATTTACCCAATGCCTGTACCTCCATTGTATCTTGGAAGTAACTAACTTACTTTTGATTTTACAGACTCATGGGAGGAAGGAACTTGCCTTGTTCCAGATGAGACTTTGGACTTGTACTTTTAAGATAATGCTGGAATTAGTTAAGACTTTGGGGGATTGTTGGGAAGGCATGATTGATGTTCAGATGTATAAAGGACATGAGATCTGGGTGGGGTTGGGGCAGAACAATATGTTTTGGTTCTGTGCCTCCACCCAAATCTTATCTCAAATTGTAATCTCCATGTGTGGAGTGAGAGACCTGTAATCCCCATGTGTTGAGGAGGGAGAGGATTGGATCATGGGGGCAGTTCCCCCATCCTGTTCTCAAGATAGTGAATGAGTTATCATGAGATCTGATGGTTTTATAACCATCTGGCATTTTCCCCTGCTTACACTTCTCTCTCCTGCCACCACGTGAAAAAGGTCCCTGCTTCCCCTTTGCCTTCCACCTCATTGTAAGTTTCCTGAGGCCTCCCCAGCCATGTGGAACTGTGAGACAATTAAACCTGTTTCCTTTTTAAATTACCCAGTCTTGGACAGTTCTTTATAGAAGTGTGGAAACAGACTAATACAATGCCTGATATGGGAAAAACAAGTGAGGCTGCCATCATTTATCAAGAAAATCATCTAGGGCAAAATCCTTAAAGGAGTATACTTGAGGAAAAAGGAATTGAAATAAAACTGAGCATTACATAGCTGTCAACTGAGCTCAATCTCTGATTTGGTTAAAGTGATTTTTCACTACCCCAATTGGCATATTTCTTTCCGAAAGGAGTTTTTACCTGGAGACTGTACAATTTGTACACAATGTCAAGCTTTCAGTAAAAATTGTGAACCATAGTATTAGACAATGTTATATGACCTTAAGCCAAGATAGAAAATTGAAAAGAGAAACAGACTCAAAATTGATCCATATTTTTGAGTCAAAGAGGTTACAATAACTATGATTTTAAGAACTAAAAATATTAAAACTCTTAAAAGAAAATATAGAAGGAAAGCTCCATGATATTAGATTTGGCAGTTTACTTCTTGGCTATAATGCCAAATGTACAGGCAACAAAAGGAAAAATAGATAAATTGGACTACATTAAAATTTAAAACTTACGTGCTACGAAGGACATTACCAACAGAGATGTAGCTGCTATGGGAAAAAAAAAGTATGATTAAACGTAGAATTACTATATGATCCATCAATGCCATTTCTAGGTATATGCCAAATAGAAAATCGAAAGCAGGGATTCAAGCAGATATTGGTACACCTATTTTCGTAGTGGCATTATTCACAATAGCCAAAAGATTGAAACAACTCAAATATCTGTCAGCAGATGAATGGATAAACAAAATGTGACATATACATATAAATGCATAATATTCAGCCTTTAAAAAGGAAGGAAATTCTGTACATGCTACAAAATGTATGGAATTTTGAATAAATTTTGAAGACATTATGCTAAGTGGAATAAGCAAGACACAAAAGGACAAATATTGTGTGAATTGACTCATATGAAGTATCTAGAATATCCAT